TGCAATTGAGAAAAGAATAGAAAGAGCAAGGAAAATTTATGACCTTTTTAGTAGCATAGGTGAGGATAAAATACAACAGGTAAGATCTTATTCGGCATTGAGAATTTCTAAATTAAGTTGGGACGAAATTGATGCTATAGAAGAGGAGTTTGAATGAGATCGTCTTTACTGCGCCACAATCACGTGACTTTGGTTGACCGATCGGTCAGTGAAACCAGAACAGCTAAAATACGTTAAGCCACCAAAATTAATAAAAAATTTGTTTTAATAGTAGGCATTGATTATTACAAAAAATCGCTTGCAAAATAAATGAATATCGTAGACACGTAATTTGTGCCAAAGAATTTCCGCAGGGTCCTGGCCTTACAAGGCTTATACATAATTTCTGGCATAGTACAATACATATCTTAAATAAATTCCACATGCATAATTTATTTGTGAGACGGGGCATAGCGATCAACAAATATGTCCCTTAATTTATGGACAAATGTATCAATTAAGGGATCGGAATCGGTTCATGCATTTAATTTTATATTCAACTTTAAAAAATCGTTACTAGAAGCTTATGTTGGCACCTTACAATACAAGATATTCTATTACATTTTACTAAGTTAACTAAAATTTTGTTTGTCTTTCTTTTAAATTATCTCATTTTTTATATTATAGTGCTTATAGTTTTAAAAGAATCTTAATTTAATTTTTTGAACCGAATTTATTTTTCGAGGTACAATTTAAGTTTATCGGTTCAAACATAGGTTTGAATTAAGAAATTAAATTTGTCGATCATGAATAATTTGTCCCTTAATTTGCAGGCAAGTGTATCAAATAGGGGATCTACATCTTATTTTATATTCGATTTCTATAGAAAATCATCGTAAAAGCAAACTTCGTTTCTATTTTAATACCTCATAACACATAATATGCCATTATATCTTGTTAAGTACAATTGAACTCTAGGTTTTTCTCTTTTAAAAGATATTATTTTATATGTTGCATTGCTTTTAATTTTAAAAGAATCTTGAGTCAAAGTTGCTTAATTTTTTTCCGGATATAACAATAACGATAAGGAAAGTTTATTATCGATCTCATATCTTTGAGAAGTCTTGAGCCAATTGCTGTTTTTTTTTTTTTTGAGAGCGATAATCCTTTGACCTTTTATATTTAATATCTTTTTTTTTTTTGTTAAAATAATGTTTATATAACAATAATAGCTAGAACAGCTACTATACATTATATGAAAATAGGAGTTTATTATCAACTGTGATAGTTTATACAAATTTATTTGAATTGCCTTATCATATTTTTTTGAATCGCTTTATATTTTCTTAAATTGCCTTATCATAATTTCTTGAATCCTCTTATCATATTTTATTGAATCGTCTTATCATATTCTCAAACATATTAAAAAAAAAAAAGAAAAAAAAAAGATACATATATTCATATAATGATGAATGCAACACAATTGAAAACTTACAATACTGATACCTTTGATTTTAATGACTTTGAATATATACTAGAGGATTACGAAGATACTGAAAGTACAAGCCTGGCTGTTGAATCAGAGAGTGTCATGACAGATAGCGTTATGGCAGATAAATCTGATTTTGATATAGAATTGAAGACATTCCTGTTTAATGATACTAGCTTTAATCAAGCACGTGAACTTGCTGAAGCAGAAGAAGAAACAGACATTAATATTTTACTGGAAAATAATGATACTGACATCGATATAGAAAGCTGTAATATAGCATCATCCTTGGCAGCTGATCTAGAATCTGAGAATAATGAAAATGAGTATCTTGTTCAGGGTAACATTGATACCAATATGAAACTTAGTCAACAATTGTCAGCCTGTCCAATTCTGGATATTATCGATGGTGATATTAAATGTTGTGAAGTTATTCACAAGTACAACGATCGCTAACGCAACTTGTTGGAGCTTGGGAAATAGATTCTGAGATTTTTCAACAAACCAAGGCAACAAACAATTTGTCAATGATGGGAGTTTGTCAATCACATTTTCTTTTTGACCAAAACCAGCTTCATCAATCACATATCAAAAATAAAAGATCAATTAGTGAAAGTTGGATATTTTGTCAACGTTGTCTATTTTGTAACAAATACAAATATTTTTTTAGTAGAGGTAGGACTTGTGTACAACATTCACAATATGTCTTTGGAAAGAATATACAAATACCCTGCGTTGGTCTTAAGGCTTGCCCCATATTTGATGAAGAAGAATCGAAAAATGTTACAAGTAATCGAGGAACTGAATATCGACCCAGATTTATATGTTCAAAATGTTTTGTCAGAGAAGGAGGACATTTCTATGAACGGTATGGCCGTGGAAGCCCAACCTTTGAATGTAAAGATTTACACAAAAATGATACAACCGATGGACTTCAAATTTTAGGACATTGGATTTTGCGCATGGCTAAAACTGCTGATGAGGGCAAGAAAAAAGCTCTCTTAACATACTTAATTTCGGTTCTGCCAGCATTTTTCGATACTAAATCATTTCCAGTAACTACAAAATCACCTAGCCTTTTATTTGTTAAAATTGTTTTAAGACTGGGCCACATTAACATGATGAATATCATAGATCAAAAATATGATATTACACCTGAAACTGCGCCAGCCTTAGAAAAAGCATTAGGGATTGCGACGTGGAATGCACGATATGAAGTACGAAACAAAAAAATGAACCTTGAAAGTCCAAGTTCTCTGGCAGTATATCAAGATGGGTTCCCATTATGTGTCGCCAATTTTTTTAATGGATTCATTGAAACTTTGCAAAGAAAAAAGCATGAAGTGCTTGTAAAAAAAAAGAAAAGAAAGAGGCCTCCCATTAAAAGCTTTTGACACAGATCGTGTAGTAAAAATTTCTGTATTCCTTATTTCGATAATTTTAAATATTGCATTCCCAGGAATGAACATATGGTTGACTCATATGATGAGTTCTCTGTGCAGAAAACCCAAACTATATCATTCCTTATATAATATACTTTGCATAGCTAATGTTGTTTCACACACACAGCAACATGAAAGAATCCTTGAAAAAACCCGACGGCATGAAGCAAAACCTGAAACAAGATTGTTGCGCAGTGCTTACATATGGAACGTATTAGTAATAGATAACATTGACTTTATAGAAAAGACTTTTGCTTATGGAAATATCTATGATGTAGCACGAAGAACTGCGCATGCTACACTACGTATGGTCTTCCAGTTTATCTTGCCCATGCAACTACGCTGTCGTAATCATATAAATGTTAGTAATCCCCGTGAAATTAACCAGTCTCTTTTTGGAACTTCAACTTTTACTAGTAATCTTCTTAAGGTTTATGAGACTACGTTCCAAAATTTTTTAACCACAGGTGATGAAAATTGGGATGTAAGTAGTATTTTAAGTAAAATTTCTGAAAATGTTCCTATTGGGTGCCAGGTGCCGCCCCCCAAAGTCGTTATTCTTAGTCCTGGAGACAACCCTAACTGTAATACAAATATCCATAAGGCGTGTGATTTGTTTTATAATGATGTAGGCGTATGTAATACCGGATGTTTGGATATTGCTTGCGATCAAGCAATTTTCCGTAGGCTGATCCCATACAAAGAAAAGAATAAAGATGCAAGGCCCTTTTTGGGCCAATGGCATACGTCAAAGGATATGTGTGTTGCGTTAATAAATATTTTTTCTGGATACGGTATCGCAAATATGGCTGTAAAGCTTGGGGTTCGGTATTTGGATAAACTAGAAAGTGTAGTTGATTATCAAGCCACTAGTCAAGTTTTAGAGTTAATCTGGGTCGCTATTGGTATTGCAATTAGTAAGTATTTACATAGCAAAAATCAAAAGATGGATGATATTGAAAGTAGTGAAAATGATGTTCTAAGAGTTTGTTATCGTTATTTTTGCTGGATTGGTTACTGGATTGGGCATAAAATCGGTATTCGTCGGGGAAATTATGAAATGCAAGTAAGAAATCTTACTGCATTTGCGCCTCTCTTCCCAGTTGCTGGTAAAGTTAACTATGCTAGTTCGGTAACTCACTTTTTGTCTTATATTGATGAAGATCCACACCTTCAAGAGCTACTCCGATATGTGTGTTCTGTTAATTTAACTAGAACGGGACATTATTTCGCTTTCGATGAAGCATTAGAACGTTTTGGGGTGATGTTTGTGAAACAAAATATCAGTGGGAAAATGATAGATGCGGAAGAGTTAAAACTTTATATAAGTTCTGCACAAGCAGAAAGAGAACGGTTAGAGTTATTAATTTCAGAGTATATGGGCGACATGGTAATAATTAAAGAAGAAAGAGCCATATTATCACGAAAAGAAGCTTTGTGGAAATTGGCAAATGAATTATTTGTTGCTCTTTCCCTACCAGACCCCAAAACACATGAGATTTTTATGAACGCACCAGAAATGACACCAACAGGATTTTTGCATGCTATGATCTTGGAACAGCTCGTCTTTATAAAATTCTGCAGCAAGATGTATATAAAATTGAACCAAAAAACACAGTGGGTCGTCGAAAACGCAACGTAGTAGTACATAAGTTGATTTCACAAGCAGAGCATCAGAGAAAGGAAACACAAGAGAGAGGGCAAACAGACAATAACAGCATTCATATTAATCAAGCAGAAAATAGTAATGTCGCTACCGGGCAATTACATGAACAAACGGGTGCAAAACGCCAACGTAGAGCTACAAGTAATTATGAGAAAAACATTCTTGATGAATTACTTAAATATGATACATTTCCAGAAGAAAAAGCTGTCGAAATTTTAAGAAATATTCAAGAACAGAGTAATGATTGGGATATGCAACGTGTGCGGATATACTGGAACAACAATCGCCATAACAAACGAAAAAAAGTTTCTTCAGATATGTAAAACTATAATAAAGTCAGTATCTTAAAATTATTTGAATGTCGCAAAGAGAAAACTGGAAAATCTTATTAGATAGAAATTTATGATTTTCCACTTGCGCACCCATTTCTATAAAAATTTATACATTAATAACGATTACGAGACCATATCTTTTTCATAAATCTATAGAGTGCAATTATCATTGACTTTAACGGCATAGTTAGTGACGTATGACAAAAGGTATATATAATTTGGAATTAACAAAAATTTTCTGCTTATAAAATAACGATAATTATATTGGTATTCAAGGTTGAATTATCCCAGGTCTTCGGATATTAAATGAAATACAATAAGATAAAAATTTGAATTTTCTTATCATTATCTTTTTCATATTTTAAGGTTGCATGTTGGGTTGTTAGCACTTTCTTTTCAGGAGTATTAACAAGTTTTAAGTAACCACAATTACATATTAACGTTAAAGCGATAGACTTAAGACTTCAATGGGTCATATATTGTTATATGATTTAAGAAGTCAGCACTACGATTAGACAAAAATCAAGCGAAAATGAGTAAGTTAGGTTTCAAGTTAAATTAAGAGAATCTATTTCAGTTAAAATAGGCGATGTATTTTGAAATAAGTTATTTACTAATTTTATTTTATTTTTGATCAAGTTTCGCAGGCACTTATTTACATGACCACTTTTATTATTAATTATTTTCTAAACTACGTATGGTGACTACGTACTACATCCATAAATGATTTAAAATTTTATTTTGTGAAATGAGAGCCTCCGGACTCTCCCATTTCGATTCTTTTATTTGTCATTCATAATTACAATTTCTGATTATTAAAGCTCCTACTTATCGTTATGCGCTATTTCTATGAAATCCTAAAGGAACTTTTCAACAAAATGTCTATAATGATTACGGCTTGACTATATATATCTTATGATACATATTAAATCAGAACCAATCTCTTAATTTTACTTTCCTTATTATTTGAAATTTAAATTTGATATATAAATGAAGTTTAACCGAACCTATACTGTAAAACCGACAAATTGAATAATATAAGTTAACCCGGTTAAGCAACTGGTTGGTCAAGAGCCGATTAATAACTGAATAATACCTTGATTAACCATAAAATTTATTTCTTTTGTAATCATTTGTATTTATTACTATAATACCGGATATTATTATAAATTTTGTTAGTATTCATTAGAATATTTCGAATTTGAGTTACTTTTAATAAAAAATTTATTTATTTTAAAAAAAATCTTTAAAAAACATTTTATAAATTGCTATATAAAATGATTATTTTAAAGCAACAAAAAAACTGTTCATATAATATAAACTCGTATATATCGAATAGAACATTAAAACAGTTAATTTATTAATTGTTAATGGTCGTTAAAAGAAATAAAATATAATAGTATTAATGGTTAAATGTGGGTAACTAACCAATTATCACGGTTTAACAATATTACATTGCAGATCATAGAACATATTTGGTGACCGATAGGCATATGGTGCCACATCTTACAGGTTTGTATAGCAGAGCCAGTGTCTAAAGACGCATTATAAAAAATTTTAGCTACGTATTATTTTTTTTGTTAATGTTAATATATAACTATGAAAAATCGGAATAACACACCTGCATATAAAGACAGACAAATTTACTTTGAAAGTGGCATGTCTTTAGAGGGTGGAAGCACGGGTGTAGCAATCACTATTCACATCAGTATTGCAAAACATGCAAAATGGTAGTATATAAGAGAATCATAATTTGTCCACGTAAATGCATAACGTATTTGAGGCATACATTGTGCCACAAAATGGTGTCAATTTACTTATTTCAGTGCACTCATGATGTTAAATGTTATACAAGGCAGAATACATTGCATAACGATAACTAAAACCACAATTTTGTATAAAAATACAGTCCATAAAAAGCTAAGTAGTTTTACTCATGGATTTTTACAGCCTCAATGCGGTCGGAGACTGGACATACGTCAAAGTAACGGAACACTATCGTGCGAAACTGCAAAAAGATCAGAGGCAAGTGCTAGATTCCATAAAAAAGGATCTTCAGAAGGTTGTATTGGATTTCGAATTTGACGAGACAAAGAGAAAAAAAGCTCAAGAAATTCTTGATCAATGGAAGGTATATTCCTTTAAATAAAATGTGGAAGCAGATTTTTTTTAATGAGATAGAAATTTAAAGCAAGAGCTTAGTCCAAGTGATGAACTCTTAGTTCGACGCTTAGTGCAAGCTGGGTCTCTTAGCCACCAGTTATGAACTCTTAGTTCGACGCTTAGTGCAAGCTGAGTCTCTTAGCCTAAGGATAGCTCTTGGCTTGATATTATTAATTCCGTATATAAAATACTTGAAAGTAAAAGATACTTTAAAAAGGTGATGTTATTAAAATTGCACAAAAAAATGAATTAATTCAGTATTTATTTACCAAGAATTGGACAGTACAAAAACCAAAATTGGAATGTTCCAGCACAGCTTCTGACGTACATTTGCAGGTGAGCTTCTATCTAGTCTGATATTGTACTGGCAAAAAAGATTAATTAACATTTCGTCAAATTAGGTTAATAAACTAAACCAACTTAACAACTTGACTGGAGATTTTGCAACCCAGAACATCGACAATCGCCGTGTAAGTTCGAGAAATCATCATTGCGATGATCAAGAAGAAAAGAGAAACACCAAACCCACTTCTTCAGTCGATGGTTCTGTAGGTGATTTGAATGGCGACCAAGTTGCTGAAATTGATGGAATTATTGTAAATAAGGTAATGCAATGAAAACAGCTTATGTCTTTTTGAACAATATCTGATACCTTTCACTGCAACTATAGACTTTTTTCAAACATAACACTTGAGGAAATATGGACAAAAGTTATGGAACGATTGAAAAAAGAAAAATTGCGAGTGCAGTATGTATTGTGACAAATGATGTGTGTTTTTTTTTTTACTTAACCGCTAAATAATTTCAGGTCTATTGAATCCCGGATTGTGGATCTTTCAAATTGGACGCAAGTCGAATGGAACAGGATTCTTAAGGTATCGGATTATTCGCAATTATTTATCAAGTCAAGAAAAAAGCTCTGCAAGGAGAAGATTGACAAGAATATGCAACAATTGCTACACGATGAATCTGGTCGGATTGTAAGTCGTTTTTATTTATGTAGTTGCTTGCTTTTTACAATACATTCAGAGATTATAATGGTATTCTGGTAGCGGTCATTAAACGATCTAGAATCATGGAAAAATATATTTACAAACTTAGCATCATCTGAAGATTCGCGATTAACTGTTGGAATAATGTAGTTTTTGTAAGTATACAGTTGAATACTTTGAATGAGATAAAACCAGAAATTCATTAAATTTTCTCTTTGGAAATATTCACTGGGTTAAATTTAGCCATCTCTGTTTACGAAGAGAGATCAATGTCCTGATCATGCAACATCGAGAACGGGACTTTATTGTTAAGATTCTGGGTCCAATAATTGGCATGCTTTTAGAAGAATTCGATATCGGTACTTTTGAGCTTAACTGGTAAGTGATGGTGTCTTTTACATCATATATTATTTATTGTGATATTAACCTGAAGACTTGACTAGGATCGAAAAGAAGTCTCGTAGTGTTACGAATCGAAAACGAAAGGCCGTGCATGAAGAATACATGACGCTAAATTCTAATATGAGAAAAATGGATTTAATTATCTCATTGCGAAGTCACTACTACCACTTGAAGTGGGAAATACAGGAGAACCCATTGATGATACCAAATATCGAAAGGATCATTCAAAACTTAAGGTAGTAATGAAAGATTGTTTAGATACATTGTGGAGCAAATTACATTTCAAAAAGGCAGAACTTGAAGAAGTTTTTATCATTGGCACTCAAATTACTGGTGAGTAAAAAGACAACCATTCAGTGTGTTTTTAGGTTTGTTACCAAAAATTTCTCTTGCGTTATATAGGCACAAGATGGACTATATACTCTCTCTCTTATGATAGTTCTCAAAATTTTTATTTTTTCGTTGAGATGGCAACACTGATACTTCCAACAACATTCTCCGATATGGAAGATCTTTTGCCAAGTTTTTTGGAAAATCTTCTTGCTTTACGGGTATGTGTGTGGGCACGTTTTTCTCTGTTAAGTCATTGGTGTTTACAGATCTTTGTATTTTCTATATATAGCACACACTAATAGACCTAGCTACAAAGATACGAAAAATCGCTCGAAAACGACTTAATACACCATCTCCACAATCGTCACCATTACATGAAACAACAAATACCCCTGAAGTGAAAAAACAAAAGCAAGATCCTTTTTGGATCTTAGATGATTTGTATTGAATAACAGATTACTTTATTCAATCATTAATAACTAAGTCGGCTTACTCCTATCACGAACATATATGTTCCAAATTGGTACGCTCATATTATTTTTTTTTTTACCTGTGTCTATCAAAAAAATAAAAATGTATGTGAATTTTCAAGGTCACAATTTTCGCGCGCACGTGACTTAGTGAGGTATACCGCAAAATACATAAATCTCGATTCTCTGGCCTGAAGGCCACCCTAAAACTGCATGTTTTTCATATTAAATAATTATAGACTGCCAAAATTAAAGTCAAACTTTAGCAGGAGCAAAGCGTACTTAATCAAAAAAATGATCACTCAACGAAGCTCTGGCAATGCCATTATGGTTGTACTATATAATTTATATTCAAGTATGAAAAAATAATTTGGGCAACCTCTAGTTTTGAGTAAATCGCGGGTGTGAATAATTAGGCCGAAAAAACCTATCATCTCTATTGTTGTAAGAGAACTTTTAGTGGAATCCCCATAGTAAATGTGAAAGCGTAGAGTGAGACATCATGTAGACCATAATAAGTAGAAGTTTTATTTTAACCCAATAAAATCCTAACTAATTTACACAATTGTATAAAAATAAAATTTGGTGAGGGGTATGGGACCACCCCCCCTTCTTTATTTAATATTTTTTTTGCTGGAATGACAACAGACGAATAAAAATATATATCGCTGTTACATAAAGCGAATAAAAAATATATATTTTTACTGCTTTGGATTTATAATGAATATTGCGTTATCAAGATCTTCAGGTTTTTTAAAAATTTCAGATAATTTCTCTTCCGATTTAATATCTCGTATGTAAGCAATTCTTTTGACCGGAATTTTAAAACGTGCTTCAATCTTTGCTTTAAAATCTTCGAATGTATAACCCCACTTAATTACATCAGGATATTTACGGGATGGAAATTCAAGCACGGTATCAAATTCATTGGGAAGTGTGGCTATTTTTTCTGAATATAAAATTTTAATGAGTTTCGCTTTCATAGTTTTTGCTATAAATGTCACAATCTCATATAAATCATTACCTTAGAACTAAATTGCGGGTAACTTATGTTAAACTTTTTTTTCAAAAATATATGAGCAAAAATAACGTTATTGCTAACTTATCTTGTAGGCGGGAGCTTGCTTATTTTTATACTTCACGTTCGTTAGGTATGAAAACCTGCCAGAAGGAAAACTCCATTAATAATTACGTTACCCAAGTCTAACCCCAGTTTTTTTTCTTCATAAAGCAACTCCACTCGGTCATAACTTCCAAACACTAAACGTATTTTGCCGTTTTTCTGGTGAAATTAAACCCCTTATAATCGACGATCACTCCTGCAATGTAAAAAAAGTCAACGATCCCGACGATCTGGAATTCCAAAACCCTGCAACATATGAATTTGGATAAAACTACTAATTAAGAGCGCTATACGTAATTTCCTTATAGCCTTTTTAAGTTCCATTCGTGCCTTTTCTTATCATAGAATCGTATATAATAAGAAAAGCCTTTCCAATATTCGTGAGAATTTATTCTGCAGATAAGTGATACAAACCACATACCTAATTTTGTGTAACGAACCTTATTTTTTTATGCGATATTTTTAATGTTAATATTTAAAGTATGACATAGTGCATGAAATGAGGATGCTTTGCATTTAAAATAAAACACATATGTTTATATTTCTTTGAAGCCACCTATTCCATCCATAGTTTAAAAAATCAATGTGTGGTATAAATCCAGAAATCGTTTGTTGATAGAACATCCAATATCTATGGTAAAATTCGGATATAAATATTTATGTCTTATCAGATAATCCTGGCCCCACAACCCCAAATCGTAAATTTGTAGTGGGGCGTTGAAGTACAAGATTAAATATAGCGATTTCATGTCAAATTATCGTAATGCCAAATGCAATTTTTATTATAGACACATTCCCGATTTTGTGTGACTTGTATTACCACCCTATCTACAATAAGATCAAGGGAAATGTTAAAACAATGATTATGGAAAGGACCCCGAGCTATTAGTATATAGGTCAGTGAACTAGATGCGTAGCCAACTTAATAACTTTTTTGGAAAGCGGGCAATAAAAATCACGACCTTGTAGCAATGACCGTATAGTAAATTCTAGATAAGCCACTGTCTCTTGAAAAGAGGATGCTCTGCATCTGTACTGCTGGCTTTTTTCATAATACATTCTCAATATGCGAATTTTATATATATTGTTATAATGCAAACCTGTCCCACAGCCCTAATTCCTACATGTTAATCTTGAAACTGACCTTGCATAATTGTTGTGATTTACTAGTGTTAAAATATAACGATAATACGTATGTACGTACATATTTGCGATGTTGAATTATTTACAACCAAATATAGAATTATTTCATAGCCACATAATATCATATAAAATCATTTTAGAGCAATTTTTTTATCGATTTTCCACCACACTAGATTATTTTTGTGTCGATAAGACAATTGCTATAACTATTTGTTACGAGTATACTTAGTTATGCAAAAAATTTCGTTTCAACTATTGAAGCAATAGGGCCTCTGACTAAGTGTATTGTGAGGTTTAACATACTCATAATTACTGTTTGGTAGCCCAGTACTTTGGTGAAGGTAGTTGTTTGTTCCGCAAAAAATACACAATCTAGTCGCCCTTAATAATATAGTTTTCTCAGGTGTAGTTATAGCCTTTTGGGGCAGGCCTAGGATCCGACTATTACCTCTCTGCAATTTACTTCTTCTGATAGTCATGTAAAAAATTTTGTCTCTATTGAGCGATAGGGCCTCTGACTTCGTTTTTTCTATGCTTATGAAAACCCAATTTTAGAGG